CCCCAAAACCCCAAAACCCCAAAACCCCTTATAGACGCACTCTTATTGAATTTAAGTAAAAGTTTAGTAAAACTTCTGAAAATGTCACTCAAATTCATTTCATTCGTAAGTCAATAAAAATGCACTCAAGTGTAGAAGATTTTGAATTTACCAACTTATTTCGATATAGGAGGAAGCTCAGAAGAGGGACTTGGCCAAGGAAGAAAAAATAAAAAGGAAGCATCGGAAGTACCTAGCATTCAAAATCGAGGAAGAGAAGAGATATCCTGATTTGATGAAGGAAAACAAGAAGTTAGTCACTTCATATCTCTACATGCTTCAATTTGAGTATGATAAAGATCCCAGTGATACATTGTAGGCTTAGTTATCTGATTCTTTAGCTATGTAGAGGTAATGGAGACTCTTATCACCGAGTTCAGTAAAGGACTACCCAAGTGTGATGGAAAGCTGAAGGGAGATCTTGAAGATAAGTGAGAAAAGCAAGAGAAAGAAGAGAAAGTTAAAAAAGAAGAACTTGAAGAGGAGGTAAAGGTAGATGAAAATTATAAAGAAGCTGTGTACAAACAGTTATACATCCTCATCTTCCACCTGATCAAACTCCTCATCAAAAACCTCTCAAAATTCAGTACGCCCCACCTAACCCTCTAGAAATAAACCTCTGTCCCCAATACAAACGTATCCTCACCACTCTCTTCCCTCCCTCCCCCTCCACCCAAAAGTAAGCCCCCTTCTCACCTCTAGCTATGCCACCTGGATCCCTCCCCAAATAAAACCCTACGCTAACCGAACCCATGACCCCTCCCGCTGCCTCCCCTCCCTCAAGCGCAACAGAAAACAAATCGAGAAGTTCATCGAAGAAGAAGACCTTAAGGAAAAAGGTAACTTTTACAGTCAGATTTTAGACCTGAGACTGGTACTTAAGGAGAAGTTGGATAGAGATTTGAGAAGGTATCATAAGGAAATGAGCATGGTTTTGAAAGAGGTCGATTTGGAGTTTTATGAGAGGACTATGAAGAAGTAGGTTAAGGTGTTAGGGTTTAGTAAGTATGTCATGCAGTTTGAGAAGGAAGGGAATGTGCTGGATTTGGAGATTGAGAGAGCAGAAGAGGTGTATAATGAGAAGATAGAGAAGTTTAAAGCGAAGTTGAAGAATAAGAAGAATCATAAGAATTCGAGAAGGCAGAGGGATAATAAAAGATTTAAGAAGTTAGATCCTGAGCTTTTTACTAAGATCTTTCATGATATTTCGAGAGGTATGAGTCATGAGCAGAAAAAGAGAGAGTTTTACAAGAAATTGACTCCGAAGAAGAAAAGAATTTATGATAGTTGGACTGAGAAAGGATATACCCGCTCAATAGAATTAATAGATAAACCGGTAAGACTTTCTCTCTGATGAATAGACCTACGAGAACAGTATGGATAAGAGATTTGGAGGCCTCATCGATGATCTTAAGAAGACTGCTGAGGATGATGGCTCACAAAATTCAGAGAAGACCTCAGAAAAGAATTCTTTAGAGTTAGGTAGTAGTTCAAAATCCTCAAGAGAAGTCAAACAGCAAGATGAAGAAGCATGCAACGAGCTTACTTGGTGGACTGATGGAGAAGAATCAGACTAATTTTTGAAAATAGATGTTTAACCACAATGTTTAGTCAAGAAGGGGTTTTGGGGTTTTGGGGTTTTGGGGTTTTGGGG